GACAGGCAAAACTATTCACTTCATGATGGTTAAGAAGCGAAAAGAAAAGCAGGGGGCTGGCATTCCAATATCCTCTTTGTGCCTCCAAAGACCGGAAGACTTCCTGCTAAGCCCCATGTCCTTAAGATGTTTAGGCTGGGGGTGGGGCATACCTTTAATCCTAGCAGAGGCAGATTTTGACATAGCGCATTCCAGGCTGGCTAGGGAGACGGCTCAGTTGATAACATACTTCCTATGCAAGCATGAGGATCTGGACTAGTTCCCCGGAACCTACATTTAAAAAGACAGGTGTGGAAGTACATGTTTTAGTGCCAGCCTTGAAGAGGTGAAGACAGAGGGATCCTCCCAGTTCTCTGGCTAGTCTACTGTTCCAAGTTACTGAGAGACCCTGTCTCAACAAACAAGGTGGGTGGCTCCTGGGGAAAGATGTCTGAGGTTGACCTATCTCCACATGCTAGCAGACATATATGCTAGGCACACCCATATACACACATGCACTCACACGCACAAGTAGACCCACAGCCGCGTGAACACGTGAACACAGTTTTTTTTTTATCACCCCCCACCCCCACTCCCCCACCCTCACACTTTTCACCACTTCCCAATATCACTAAGCTGGGCTCTAAGACTTTATTTAACACGGGCATTTGGGAGGTCACTCCAGATCCAAATGATAGACTGTCTATCTGTAGACTATTTCCCGGTGCTTTTCTTCCTCCTGGTCACAAAGTAATTTCAGGTTCAACCTGCCTCCTTGTGTCTGTATGCCAGACACAATGATGATCCACTTCATGTTCACCGTTCTACTTAATTCTGAAATGGTATTATGAATGAATGGATGCAACATAATCATTCCTGTTAGACAGTTGGGACTGAAACTCACTGAGACAACTTGTAAAAAATCATGCTACTTTTTTTTTTTTTTGGACAGGGTCTCACTGTATGGCCCTGACTATCCTGCAACTCACTATGTAAAACAGGCTGGCCTTGAACTCACAGAGACCTCTACCTGCCTCTGCCTCCAGTGCTGAGATGAAAAGTGTGCACCACCAAACCCAGTTTCACACAACACAGGCTGGCTAGTGCTGCAGGGGTTAAAGAATCCAAGGCCTGTGGTGGAGAGGGAAGGCTTTGGAGTCCGGTACCTGAGCTCAGTTCTGGGCTCTCTTCTGGATGTGGGGACTTGTAGAACTACCCAAAGTCCCCCAGCTCCACCTTCCTCACTGTTGGAAGAAAGGGACTGCTCCGTGGAAGGGCCTTGGGAAGGAAATCAACGAATGTGTCTAAATGCCTGTCACAGTACCAGGAAGCGTCACCGTTTCACCCACCAGCACCCCCTCTGCACCCGGCTCGATTGTCTTCCTGTTATGTCACCCTGTTTCCTTCAAAGAGAGAGGTGAGGCGGGAATACAAACAGCTGTCAGGAGAAAGAAAACAATGAAGGACCCATCAAGCAGACAGGCCTTCGGAGTCATCAAGCAGGCCTCATGGGGACGGTGACCTTAAGTCTGTACCAGACATGGTTTGCCAAGTTGCAGCAAACATAAAACAGAAGAGAGATGCTCAGGACTTCACATCTGGCACCAGGATATTGCACAGTTGGATGGTGGAGGCGTGGGTGCTCTGTGAGTGAAGGGTTGCAGCAGTATTTCTCAGGCTGTGCCCTGTACTTGGTTCTAGGTTAAGCCTGGACTACAGTACTTAGGCTCACACTGGAAGTTAAAAGAGGCTGCACCCAGTCCTCCCTGAGCCCAGCTCCTGCTCTTTCTGGTGGTCGTCAGGAATCAATGCCATCCTGATAGAGGAGCAGCCCTCATCATCCCTTTAGAAGGGCTGGTTGAAGGTACCGAGAAGCCTAAGGATAGCCCATTCCTGCTCCCATAGAAAAGCTGGCAGGAGCGTAAGGCCTAATATCTCCCTCCAGCTCCTCAGGCCAGCTGGGATTCTATTTTTAACCAGCACTGTCTTAAGTTGACAGCTTGGAACGCCTTCTCCTTCATTTTCTTTCTTCCCCCAGCTTTTCACAGCCCAGAACCCGGGAGAAGCGACGGAGAGGAACGGCCCTATAATGGTAAACAGAGGGCCCTTGTCCCTGTCCACTGTCCTTCCCTCCATCCAGTCTTCCTCTCGGGAGACTGGTTAGTGAGCAGATATTAGACAGAGCCAATGAAGCTTTCATTTCAGCGCTCCTTTCTTGTACAAACCTTTTCCCAAGGTGCATGGTCAGGACTGTAGCAGTTTTATGTCCATGAACTTTGTCTTTTTTTTCTTTAGTAAAGGATTCAAAATTGTGTATACCTTATGTCTCACAAAAGTTGGGTCTGCCTGTCTCCTCCTCAGAGTTTACATCAGTATAGTTCTTTACATTTTAAAAAATGTCTTCTTTGATAATTTTCCTACACGAATACAGTGTATTTTAGATCATATTTACCATCAAGTCCTCCTGGACTCCCCTATCTCAACACTCAGCGTAGAGAGGGAAGGGGTTCATGAGGTACCAACCTCTAGCTGAGGAACCACTCGCTGTTATCTCTTGTTTTAGAATGGTTAATTATTATTATGAGTGTACGGTGAATGTGTGAGCGCAGGTACACGTGCCACACTGCATAAGTGCAGGTCAGAGGGCAGCTTTCAGGAGTCAATTCTCTCCTTCCATCAACGGACCCAGGGGTATCACTCTAAGCAGCAAGTACTTTTACCTGCTGGGCCATCAATGGTCCACTAAAATTATTTCTATTTTCCCCTAAACTGTTATAAGACATTCGACAGTTTTGTGTTTGTTTGTTTGTTTGTTTGTTTTGTCTGTATGCTGGACAGTTTTATTTCAACTTCACACAAGCTAAAGTCTGAGAGGAGGAAACGTTAATTAAGAAAATGCCTCCATGGGAGTGAAAGCAGAACTGGCCCCGCCCCTCGCTCATTGCTGCAGGGGGTGATCTAGCCAGGGCAATGCTGGAGAGCTCACCCTCTCTCCAGCATTGGTGGTGAAGACAAGAGAGAGCTGGCAGGCTGACCAACCCTGCAACTACCCAGGTGCAGAATCAGGTTTATGAGTTGGCCCACCCCAACATTCACCCCATCTGTGATCTGCTGGAGCATGTGAAGGGGTCGGTCCTGCAGACCCAAAGCTGAAGGATCTCCAGGACACAGAGCAACAACAGGATATCCAGTAGGAGTCCCAGTCAGGGTCTAGCATCGATAGTGTAGCAGAAACCAGAAGCCTCAAACCAGACCAATGACTCTTTGCATGAATACTTGCAAGTAAAGATATATGAGCAAAAGAGTTTACTGAGTGACTCACTGTGTCACACTCCAGCTTCCATGCAAGATTTTTTTCTTTTTTTCTCTTAAATTTTATTTTATTTGCTGGGGGGGGGGTTGCAAGGGCAGAAGGTGGATATGAAGGGATGGGGAGATGAATACAATTGAGATGTATGATGTGAAAGACACAAAGAATAAATAAAAAAAGTTTAAAAAAAGAAGAAAATGCCTCCATAGGATCTGGCTATAGGTAAGCCCATGGGGCATTTTCTTAACTAGTGAGTGATGGGGGTGGGCCCAGCCTATTGTGGGTGGTACCATCCCTGGGCTGGTGGTCCTGGGTTCTATAAGAAAGCAAGCTGAGCAAGCAATGTTGAGCAAGCCAGTAAGCAGCACCCCTCCATGGCCTCTGCATCAGCTGCTGCCTCCAGGTTCCAGCTTGAGTCCCTGTCCTCACTCCCTTCAATGATGGACTATTGTTGGCAGCAGTAAGTTTGCTGCCTTAATTTTAAATGCCCTTTTTTGTCCTGTCCCAGTTAAGTTGTTTGTGTGAAAAATGTGCAGTTGGGTTCCGGAGGGTGCTGGGGATCAGTTCCCCTGTGGTTTTTCCTGTTTGGAAAACAGTGTCCGGCTTGCCTCTGGATAGCTGTTAGAGGGGTATATAAGCCGGTGTTGGTATGAATAAAGAGAGCTGCTTCCCTGACGAACTGAAACTGGGTGTATAGAGTGCTCGCCAGATTTCGTGCTCCAGCTGCGCAGGTCGGGGCAGACTATGATGTGGAAGTGTAAGCCAAATACCCTTCCCCTCCAACTTGCTTTTGGTAATGGTGTTTCATCACAGCAACAGTAACTCTAAGACAGCCTATTTCTCCTATCTGTTGCTAGATAAAACCTCAAAGATCTTTTTTTTCTTCCAATATTCTCCCTCTGATTATCCTTGTCCATCCTCTCCTCGTCCTCATCTGCTTGTTACTCTCTCTCTCTCTCTCTCTCTCTCTCTCTCTCTCTCTCTCTCTCTCTCTCT